TCTCTGGATCCTGCATCCTCTGCCTTTGACGCTGGAGGTCACAGTATCTTATTAACAGCCCTCCAGATGTCGTCAATCTATTAGAATAGATTAACATCTGTCTTTTTCGCAGAACATTTTGGAGGTTCTGCAAAGCAGATCAAGTTAAACTCTTAAGAACTTGCATTGTGGGGAACCTCAGGGCTCTGTTCTGGGTCCAATTCTATTTCTTTTCAATCTTTCCTTTCAGTTTCTAATGTGCGTAATCACTTCTTGGCCTGCAATGTTCTTTTAGGCCTAATGAATATCTTGATAAACTGTTTATGTTGCATTAAATGGAAGATCAGTAAAAACACTGGCAGGTAGATTTTGATAAGACTTCTTCTACTGTCAAACCAACCTTTAGTGTCCTTTGTACTTTTTTATTTTTTTGTCTCCTGATTTAAAACATTGATAAATTACAGCGTGTTGCCTGACGACAGTGTCTAATCCCACATCCTCCATCACCACCCGGCCCCGCCCCGCTGCGCTCCAGACCTCCTGGGCAAAGCAAATCCTACAGCCTCCGCTGTTCCTCCCGTGTTGCTTTGCTCCAACTTCCTTGGAGCTCAGGGAGATAATGCGCTTTATTATTATTAAATTCATAGGAGAAAAACATATGGAAAGAACGTTTAATTTAATATGAGATATTAAAAAAATCCTCCTCCTCATCCATATGTTCAGTTTCTGCCCAAATATTTTGTTTTATTGTGGATTTTTTTAACAGGGATAATTAGGATCATACGTGGTTTTTATGAACTATGTTTGTTCTCTGCGTCCAAACTCAGCATCTTTTCATCCATTCCTGAGATGAGAAGTTTCTTTTGAAGTTGTGAGAGGAGCTCTTGGGCGTTTTGACTGGATTTGATTAAACTTTTAAGCCTCTTAGTATAAAATAAATATTTTGATCGAGAAGAGAAATCTGCTTCCTGGTATGTTGATGTACCAATAGTTATCATCTAATCATTTAAACAAACGGTCTTAGTTTTTGGGAATATATAAGCTCACGAATCAGCCTGGAATGGCTTGATAATGGCTTTGTCTCCATTCGAACCCAGGTTAAAGCCTTGGAGCCTAAAGCCCACTGCTCTCATTAAGCCACAAAAAAGAAACAAAACAAAAACAAATGGTCAGTTTAGGTGTTTTATAAAAGATGAGAGTCAGGATATTGTCTATATATCAAACTTTACTATTTTTGTTCTCTACTTCAAAAAACACTTTAGATTTTAAAATGGAAAAATTTTCTATTTTTTTTAGATATTTTTTTTTTAAATTTCAATTCAATGTATAAAATGGATGCATGAAAAACCTCATTCTATTTCAGTGTTAAATTCTGTTTAAAAGTAACATATTATAGATAAAAAATGTCTCCGGACCTTTACTGGTTGATGATTTCCTTTGTTTGGACCACTTTAATTGGTGACCCCTGCTCTAAACATGCCATTTATATTTGAGACCATTATTTAGAAACAGGTTTTATTTTTTATAAATATTGTCTTTTTTTTTTATGTTAAATAAGTTTGAAACATCAAAGATGAATGTTGATGCTAAACGGCCAGAAAACTGTAATGAGTGGAGCTCTAAAACAGGGATCCTATCTCGATAAGACTGAAGCTAAAATTGCAACACCTTTCTTTTTAAATCATTGCTGATATTATAATAAAGAGTAAGAATATATAAAATATAAATATATATATAAAATAAGAAGCTAAAAATAAGAAAAAGTTCAAAGGGAGCTTTCAGTGATGGTGTCTATCTCAGAACATTTATTCATAAGAAATATTTTATTTGATATTTTGTATTACGTCTTTAGTACAGGAGCCAGGACCGGTTCTAGAGGAGCATTGGCCCCTAATGGCCCCTTTCTAGAACCGCCATGTCTGTTAGAATAGAAAAGATCAATCAAAATTCTGCTGTAAGACAAGAAAGAGACGCCACATTTCTGCAGTTTGGATCTCTTTACAGTCGCAACCAAAACATTTTACAATCAATTTAAAACATCAGTTCATATTTTAGATCCCTCCCCTGTCATCTTTTCACAGTTTAGATCTTCTAGCAAAAGTCTGCTAATGGTTCCAAAGACACATTTTAAGACAAAAGGGAATCCCCGGCTTTAAATATCCGCTGTATGATGTTACATTTGGGCAGTTTTTAATCTTCTGTGTTTTTGAAGTTTTCATGGTTGTTTAGCTGTGATATTTGCTGAATAAAAATAAAGTTTGCTCTGAGGTTCTGGGTGGATTTTCCATGGAGCAGCTGCAGCACAAACACAGAAACCAGCATCTAGCTCGTTAAACTAACCGATCAGGCAGCGGCCAAATCTACCAGATGGACCACGGAGATCCTGATGCACTCTGAGGAACTCAAACTCTCGCTTCCAGGGGATACAGTTCAGGAACCACCAATCCTGACCCATCCGTTTGAATCAAAAAAACATTAAAACGCTGCGAATGTTAAATATTTCATTTCACAAATTAAGAGGGAGAGCTCTGATCCTGGAGTCAGAGAGAAGAAAGCACTAAAACTCAACAGGGCACAAGACACAGTAAACCATGAGGTGGAGTTTATCATCAAGAAGGACTAATTAGCGAGCTTACCGACTCCAGAACATCCAGAAGGTCCAGCAGACAGTCCCGATCCTGGACTGAGACTCTCTGCTCTTTGACTCTCCTACTGTTTCTCCCCTCCCTGCTCCCTTCAACAGCTCTTGCCCACTTCCTGTCTGACGTCTGACAAACACACACAGTTTACTGGGCCACACATCCTGTAGCTATAAATACACCCCGTCACATGATCTGCCACACGAACATACACCGTCTAACCAAGCCGCTAACCGTCTGCAGCCTCATGACAGGAAGAGAAATATCTTCCAGCAGGCTTCAGGAAGACCTGATCCAGGGTCAGAGTGTGCAGCTCTGAAGCTGGGTCTATGTGATATCAATGAAGCGGGTCTGGACTCAGACTGGAGGCAGGTATCAGTCTGGTGCTGCAGCAAACAGTTCCTCTGCTGCCAGTTGGTTCTACTGGAAGTGATCATACCTCGTAGTCAAGCAAGGGCTGAAAGAATTTGTTTTTTGTTTTGGAAAAAGAAAAAGAAAAAGAAAAGATAAAATATGGAAGTAAAAATAAATTTCTGAAGATATTTATGATTTTATGATTTGCATTTCAAACATAGATGATGTTTGAGGCGGTGCAAAAGGTTAGTTGGAGTTACAGATGTCCAACCTTTGCTGCATATCTCCCTCCCTTCTGCCCATTATTATAAATAAAGACCACAATTCAACCACTCGACATCGGTGTAAACAGGACGCAGCAGGCGCAGCAGAAGCAGCGAGTTTACATGCAAAGTCAATGGTTGACGCACGTATAGGCGCAGCAAAAGGTCCCGCAGCGCGTTTTGAGCAGCGGGCGCAGCGCGTCGGGTGCGTTTAAGCATCTGACGCGCTTGAGTCTACGGAAACCACGGCAGACCAAACCAGATGAAAGTGCGCATTCAGCTCGGCAAAGAACTCATGCTCTTCCTCAACACTGAAGTCCTCAGACATTTTTCTTTCGTTGTTTCTTTCTTTGCACAGGTAAACAGCACATTTCTTCTTCTACGCTTGCATTATCGGCAGAGCAGACGCTGAATGCGCACTTTCATCTGGTTTGGTCTGCCGGCTTCCGTAGACTCGTGAACGCGCTTTTAGGAAATCCTATAGACTACTGTTTATGCTCTAAAAACATTCTAAATGACTTTGTTTCGAGTAAATTATGGACGCTACCCACTCAGGACACTTGGAATACATTGGACGAGCAGTATGGAGGAATATTGACACGTTTTTTGTGGACTTTTATGGACCTTTCTGCCTCGGGCACAATAGACCTCCATTATTTGAATGTCAGCAGACAGCAAGAAGCCTCCCAGATCTCCAGATGCATTTGAGATATCAAAAAAGAACTCCAGAGTGTTGTTCAGCATTGGGGTGAGTAGAAAATGAAGGCTAATCATGTTTTGGGTGTACTATTCCTTTAATGTTTGCAGTCAGTTCATCGAGATTATCATCCTGCGCTCAGACCCCCACATACCAGCGGTGCGCTGACAGTAGGAATCCATTCAACAGCAGCCTCTGGCCGGCCACGAGGAGGCAGGCGCCAGGATAATTAAAGCGAACATATTCTGCCAGCAGATTTCTGCATTTTAAGTAAATTTATGCGTCAATGACCTGTTTCAGAGGAGTGATCACAGCGCTCTGTCATCAGAGCGATGTGTCTGTCTCACAGCCAGCTCCCAGGTTTGATTAATACTTTGTAATAAATACACGAATAAAGCACAGTCATACTCAGTTTTTCCCCCGCTCTATTTTTAAATACGCAGTAGAGGTATTTAAAGGTAGTAGAGGACATGTACCTGTATATAAAAAACGCGCCCTGTAGTCCGGTGCGCCTTATGTGTGTGTTAAATACTGAAATGGCACACATAACTGAGACTGCGCCTTTTAGTACGGTGCGCCTTATGGTCGTGAAAATACGGTACTAACAATTGCTAAATTATTACTTTTACTTTGCACTACTCTAGATGTTCTATTGATGTATTAGTTTTTTAAAATGAATAGTTAAAAAAAAACAATAAAAAAAACGTTTTGGTTATTTAATCTTAACGCGTGATTAATAGTATTTGAGTTATTCTAAAAACATCTACATTTCATTTTAATTGATGAATCAACCAGGTTTTGAATAATCAGCTGAGTGTAACCATAACTAAACATTTATTCATGTAGTTTGACTGACTGGTGACACTTCATCCCTCCTATGTGTGAATCATCAGTTGACAATAAAGCTTTTCCTGATTCTCAGCTAGTGCTAATCATGCAGAGTGACGCATCTCCTCTCAGAGAGCATCTTTGGCAGAGTTCAGTCTGTGCTCTTCCCACAGCAGACCGATGCTGCTGGGACTACTTTTTGTGGTGGAAGCATCTGTCAGTGACTGAGACTGGACTCACAGTGAAGCTGTTGTTGACGTTCTTGGTGCTGGATTCGGCCACGCTGGCGTCCGTCAGGTCCACCTCGTCAAAGATGATCGACTGGAGAGACATGAGGGCAGATTAAAGCCTATTTATCGCTAACCAATCAGATTGTTCCTGAACAAACTTGGGTCTCCGCGCACTGTTTCTCTCACCTTACTGGTCTGAGCGTAGTACAGAGTCCTTCCTCTTAGCTTGAAGTATCGTCTCTTCCAGCGCTGAAAGGAGCTGGTCTGTTTCATAAGCGTCCCTTCCTTCAAAACGGTCTGTAAGACATCATCGTTGACATCATCAATAACATCATCAGATTCAACAGCAATCCCTTTTTAAAGGCAATCTGTACAGGAGAGTTACTTCTGGAGTGCCGCAGGGCACAGAGCTTGCTTTGGTCAAATAATGACCTTTTCCTTTTTTATGACGTTCAGATCTTGGGACCAATGTTAAATTTGTAGTGAATTGTTTTAAAGAAAATTAACATCAAAGGTGTTCTCTCCTCCAGGACAGAATAAAGTGCAGCGTCCTACTCAGCTTTATTCTGATGAATCCACTCAGACCCACATAATCTTTAACCATGATTTATTACTGGACTGGTAATGATTGATGTTGATTAGAGAACCATAACCAGCTTTATACGTAGCTGGAATCTGGGATGTTTTATTCTGTCTCTCACCATTTCTTCTAAATGTAAATCATCCCCACCTTAGGCTCCTTTACCATTTCTACCTGATCTATTAACAAAAAGTGCACCAGTTAGGGGTTAATAAAGGCGATTGGGTATCTGCAGGTGGTGCAGCTATTAGTGCGCACGACCCATGTACGGAGGCCTTAAGGGCTGGTTATAATCCTGCAGCAGTGTGTCGCAGTGAGCTTGAAGGAGACATTTTTTTAAAATTTATGCTTAATTTTCAGCGTGGCCTGCGCTATACGCCGTGGGTCTAGATACGGCCGAGGTGGAGAGGAAGTGGGGGTGAGTTTATACGACAATGAAGGGACATTAAGGCGAAAAGAGCAGGGATCCAGGTGGAAAAAGGGTCCCAGCGTTCTTGTGCACCTCGCACTTCTAGCTGGTCAAACTTCACGAGTTGTTTTTCACAATTGCGGTCATAAAAACAAAAAAAGCCGGCCTCCTGTCTGCAGCCACCTACAATTTGGGAGAGGTGCAGCAGACGACCTAGTTTCGAAGTATAAATCAGCCTTTAGTCCTTGACGCAGCCGACTCAGGTTTCGAATCCAACCTGTGGTCCTTTTTGCCGCATGTCTCTCCCCCTCTCTCATACCCCCTTTTCTGTCAGTCTACCGTTTCGAAAAAACGAGCCAATTGTGGCATAAAAACTCAAACAAAAATATTTATAAATAAAATAAATAGAGATGATTGATTTAGGTCTGAACAGGTTGGCTCATTTGAACAGTTTGATTTATTTTAGCTGTTATCAGACTCAGATGATGGCAGCTATGAAGACAACTAAGTGTGTACAGGATACAGAGAGGAGACCAAAGGATACGACAAGCTTATGTGAAGGTGAGCTAATGCTACCTAATGCTACTACCTTAAAATAATGCTGTGATTAGTTACTCCGCCCCTTAAATAATCAATAACCAACAATCCTCTTTTGAACAGCTTGGCTTGGGTAAAATTAGTCTTTTAGATCATCATCTGAATGTGGTACCGTAGGAAAATGTTCATGTGGAGTCCCTTAGAGCTCTGATCTTGGACCTGTAAAACACCTACAAAATATTAGAGACTTACGGCTGATTTATACTCAGAAACCAGGTCGTCTGTGTGTGTCGCAATGAACACAGCTATGCCCCCGCCCCTTCCACAGACACTCTTCTACACCTCTCCTAAATTACAGGTGACCGCAGACAGTGCCGCAGACAGGAGGCCTCTGATTGGTCAAATCGATTTCTGCTCTACGTTATGCGTATTTCCTGTTTGGTACCTTACCGGCTTGTTTTGTTTGTATGACCGCTTTGCGGAAACGACTCGTGAAGCTGGACCAGCTAGAAGAGCGAGGTGCACAAGGACGCTGGGACCCTTTTTCCACCTGGATCCCCGCTCTTTTTCACCCTCATGTTTAGGACTGGGTAAAAAAATCGATTTAATTGATTTTGAAATGATTCCTTTACAGTTTTGCAAAATCGATGTCTAGGAAACTGGGACTGAATCAGAGTTTACATTTTAGAGGAAATTAAAGTGTTTGAAGAAAATTAGTGAATAAATGTTTGCTCTGAGTCTTACTGAGATCGTAGGATTGGGCTCCTTATTTGACCTGTTTTAGTCATCAGAGACAATCCATTCATCCTCGCTGAAACATCTCACCTAGAAATCCCTCCATCCAGCAAACTTTAAAGGCTGCAGTTCCTAGGATATGTTAATAGGATGCCACTCTGACACCTTTGTGCATATTTTTAGATTTGTCAAAAACCTGATGTAAAGAGGCTGGATTAGCTTGTTTCAGCAGGAGCCGCGTCACTGTCTCCTGACACAATGGAACAAAGGGAGCTGTTTTGAGTCAAGTTGCTTTTTTTTCTCTCTCTCTCTGAGGGTTTGTTGCTGTAGACAACGAGGTTCACTGTGAGGGGTTAAAGCTCAGTTTACTTTGATGTTTATGACGCACTTCTAGGAGGAACATTCAAAGCGAGGGCTGTGGATAAAACCACTGAGACGTTCCTTGTTATTCCCATGAATCTCTCTCCATGTGCTTAACTCCAACCGGGGGGAAAAAAATGCAGCTTTAAATAGAAACCTGACTCCATTCAAACCCCCTGAACCCAACCACCGCTGCCTTCAGGGCCCATAGGAACTCACAGATTTATTACAGGAGGAATATGAGGAACCAGCTGCTGAAACACAGTCATCTTTATGTTCCAGCTCTTTATATTTTTACTTTATTCCTTAAATCTCTTACATGGTTAAGAGAAAGTAAGCTGAACGGAAAAGAGATAGTTGAATTTTACACAATAAACAACTCTTCTACCTTTTTTTCTGTTTATTTTTAACTTAACTAAAAATAAGATTATTTTAAACAACTTTGAAAAGGAGATGTGATCACTCGACATTTTTTTAAACATCCATGAACACAGCAACAGGTAAAAGCGATAAATAATCCGATAATAAGTAACAGCTGCTCAGATTTATCAATGATTTGCCGAGAAAGGCCTTTTTTTGTTCACTACAGTTGGAATTAACTACCCTAGTAAACTAGCCCCTCCCGCCAGTGGTCTGGCCTCTATCAATGCCCCAGGCCCTAGAACTGGCGGGCCAATCACAAGGCAGAGATGTGTCTTGAATTTTTGGATGCAAAGCGGGCGGGGTTTTCAGGGCGTGGCGCCAAAGCTGCGCGACAATGGAGGAAACACAACAAGGAAAATGGGAACAACTATTGAACAGTTCTCATTTGACTCAGCTTTGGAATCAGTTTTGAAAGGATTAGACTTGGGGTTTTCATTGAAACGTGAGCAGGAAGATGCTCTACGCTTATACATTTTTAAGAAGGACGTATTCGCCGTTTTACCGACAGGCTGTTTGTTTACACTGCCCCACCATCTTTCTGTCGCGCTTACTACGTCACAGTCAGTTGCGCTCATTGGTCAGAGCGTTGGCCAATAGGCACAGACATAGTTTGATACAACGGGTTGTTCTCAACAATCTTACAATGTCTCGTTCATCGGGGCCAGACTAAATTACACATTTAATCTCACATTTAGTCTGGTTTATCAGGCAAGTAATTAACAAGAAAACTCGCCGCTAGCATTACCTGGAATGTAGCTCCTCCCCCCGGTCTCACAGCTCACCACCATCCGGGTGGAAACACTGGGGGGGGGAACTCAGAGGCCTCCCTCAGGCCTCAGCCCACATCAGTTTTTGATGCTCCTTCTTAGTGTTTTAATCGGATATAATTTTAACCTTTTCATTTTTTATTCTTCATCTCTAATTTACGCCCTGCAATAGGCTGATAGGGGCGTATTAAACTTAACTCCAATTTAGTTATTTATTGATTATTGAGCTCATGTGAAATACTTTAGTGAACATCAATAGGTCATGACACAAATATCTCGAGTTTCTCGGATGAAAAAACAAACACACTGATTTTCACCAAAAATCCTTAGTATTTTAACTCTCTTTAACTCATTTACAAATTTTAATCTCCGTTCTAATGACAACACTAACGCTATTAAATGTAAAACGCGTCCACTCCTATTCGGCATGATTAAAAACTCGCCCAGCAGCCTAAGTTTCCGTTAGCTTTATCCAGACTCCAGTTAAAAGCTGTTAGGTCTAAACTGAAATGTACCTCTAAAATTAAACTTGCAACTAAATTTAAATGTACAGACGTCAACTAATTGAAACAAAACCATTATTTAATTCGGCACCTTTATAAGTCACCAATAGCCAGCAGTTTCGTCAACTATTCCGGAACTGAACAACCAGACCAAACTCAATTCAAAATCCGTCGAATTTAAGTTCAAGCACATCGGTAGAAAAATAAACCCCTTAAATCCGGATCTTTAAATGGTTAGAGAAAAGAAATAGAAGCGCATTTTCATACGGTTTAATTTAAAATTATGGTCATCAGGTCGGATTCTTTGTTATTGTAACTTTCTCATCAAGCTTTAGTTCAAAGTGCTGATTGGGAATTTAATTTATTCCCGGATAACGGTCGATGGAAAAGATTAAACAAAGGGACGGAATTAAACCCACTCTTTAATTCGGCATCAGTTAAAAAGGGCAAATAGATCAGATTTTGTTTAGAGCGGTCTATTTTTGTCTTTAAGTCGGGTGACTGCGACCGCGGATAACGGATGAGAGAAGAAGGAATCCAAGTTTCAGTAGCGGACAGATTCTAAACCCAGTGAAGCTTTTCTGGAGGACGGATCAGAGAACAGTCTTTATGCAACCAGCCTGTGATCATATACATTTATTAAAACGTTATAAAGAACTTCTTCAGAGCGAAGATTCTAAAAGTGTCGTTTTTTCCCGGGGGTTTGGCTCCCAAGAGTTCCTTCGGTCATAGCGGAGCAGCTCGGGGCTTTGTGGGGCCCACTCCGCTCAATGACCATCCAAACCCCTCCATAAGCTCCCCAAGTGTAACCCTCTCATACCTTGCTGCGGATCTGACCGGACGTGGATACTTTCCGAATGAGTTTCTGTGGAGATCCGGGCTCCTGTTCAGGCTCGCTGTCCGATGACTCGTCCGGACACCGGGCCGTAGTGGACTCCGGTCCCCCTGCCTCCGCCATCCTGTCATTATCAGGCCCCTGATGAGCTGCGGAGAAACAGCTCTCCCTAGCGGCGGACAGTGCACAGCACAGCGAAGGAGGGGCATACTGCTCCCTGCTGGCAAATCTTTGACATTACAAAGGATATCCGCTTAGAATGTTTACTTCAATGTAATTCATTCACTCAAATTAATGCACTCAAGTTATAAAACATAAATGTAACCTCAAGGCATTTTCAGAGTCAATTTAATCAAATAATGCAGACATATTTGTTTAAAAGTTCTATCTTTGAACACCCAGCTGATTGCATGGAGTCAATGACTTTGAAGAAATCACTTGTGGCAACAATGGACATTTGCTTGGAAAGTGTTGTTGACTGCAGCAATCCCTTATACCAAGTATGCATGATGCAACGATAGAGGTGAAATCTCTCTTTTATTAGGAAGAAACATTCAGCAGAAACAGGCGTTGTATGGCCTTCTGCCATGGCCAACTTAGTTTAAAGGAAAAGTTCAGCCATATCAGAATTGAAACATCTGAAAGTACTTTACATATGAAATTGTTACATACTGTTCAATAAATGATATGTGTTTTAATTAATATTAATTTTCATTTGAATGTGCTTTACTGGAGACATGTTTGTCAAAGAACACTATCGGCTGTTGAGCAAGTCCCAATGCTGTATCTGGTGTTTGTCACAACGCGCTATTATTCAAGTCATCTTGAAAACATTCTTCTTCAAAATGTTGGCTACATATTACATGTTTTTTCTCTGGCCAGAAGTTCAATGGCAAAATCCTCCCTCTTCAAGTTGGCAATCCAACGATGAACCCGTTCGTGGAGGATCATGAATCGAAAAGGTGAAATAACTAATTTTCTTTTTTATCTTTACCCGATGTATTACAACATCCAACTTCCCTGCACATGGGCAATGTCAGTCCTCTGGAAATCTTAAATAATTGTTGTTGATTGCAGATGTGTCTAGTAGTTCCTATTGATTTTGCTTGTAAAGTGGGGAAAATGGCGCAAGGCTTACCGCACCGTGACGTCACTGCTGGAAGCTGGCAGGTGGGAGGGGTTACTATATTTGGGCATAAATGGCTGGTCCTGCACTTGGTGATCACGACGAAAATTATTGTTTTTAAAATTTTTTTACTGATTAATGCTAAATTCTATAAATCACCACAAACATATTAGTTTTAGGTATAGATAATGATCCATTGATTATTCCTTGCTGACCAGACTTTTCCTTTAAGAAGACAGGGACAGATGGATAAAAGGAACATAGAAGCCATGATCTATAAGTATGTTACAGGTGGTATGGTGGGCGTGGTCCAAGCAGTATAAAAGCGGAAGCTGCAAACTTTCTTAAAAGGTGTCAGTTTCCATGGGACGCCAGGACGTATCTGGATTCAACACGTTGTAGATTTGTCAAGAATGTGGGTGAGTGTTGAACTTTTATTATGAAGAATGTAAATTTTAACCATTCTTTTCCTTGTTAGGAGGCCCTGCAGGTTTTTTAGACCAGGCTGTGTATACAGGCAGATGAGGGTGGTGTACGCGATACAGGTATTTTTAGAGATTTTAAGGTAGTCATTAAAATAATATTTTGATTGCATTATTTTTGTAATTTGGTGTTTTCTGTTTGTTTACAGAGATGTTTTTTGTTGCTCCTGCTGTCCTTAGGTTTATGTTTTGTTTCTTTTAGTTAGTCCGACCCTGTTTGATGTCTTTGGTCCTGTTGTTTACTTGTGAGGGCGGACTAACTGTTTTGTTTTTTTATCTTTTTTTCATTGAACTGTTTGTTTTCTCCTTGTTCACTCTCCCACGAGGCTGTGAGCTGGTAGACAATGTTATATTGCATCTGATTGTCTGCAGTGCTGAGTGGTGATCGTCTGCAGTATTTTTTTCACCTGTGAAGCCTGTGAAGCCTTATAAGGCTGTGAAGCCTTATAAGTGTGCGACTTTTCTGGTTCTGGTTATGCGGGTTTGTCCGCCATCCACTAATGTCAGAGTTTAAATATTATATTGTCTACCCTAGGCTATCAGTTTTGTGGAAGAGAGGTAAAGGATTTTCTGTCTATTTCTTTAATAAAGAACGTGTATTTTTAGGACTGAGTTTGTTTCATCCTTGCGCGGGTGGTTACAAGTAATATTTACTTAAGACGGTAATGGTAAACTAGGTTGCTCTGTCTAGGAAAGAAATGGTTGAGCAGTTCTGAGCTGGTTTACAGGTCAAAAGAATAACAGAGCTAAGACGCACCCAGTCATAGTGAAAGGATAACTAATGGCTATGTCCATGAGAGAACCAGGATTAAACACTTAAAACCAGAATAAACTCTATCACTATCATGAACTTGCTGATGGTGGCAGTCAAGCTAAAGCCTCCTTTCAGGGTTGTGCCAGAGCGTCAAGCCACATGTGGCTACTATGACAAGTAAAAAAAATAAAGACAAAGAGCAATTATATATTTTGTTTGTTACAAGTTAGCATTAAAACAAATAATGAAAAAAAAATGGAGAATAAAATTTGGATGTTGGAGAGAGGAAAGTTACCCTACGTCCTCCAGCAGTCTAAGCCGACTTTTCAGTTATAAGATCATTTTTTGATCAGCCCAACTTTCAGCCTGATTGTGCATCGTGAGTCGTGTAGTGTACAGGGGGTAACGAGGGGCGATCAGCCTCTCACAACTACCTCCTGATCAGGATTCGTAAGGTGAGGAGAAAATCAAACATATTTGATTTTCAGTCGACCATCATGGGCAAATCGCTCAGTGGGAAAACAAGGATTCTACTTTTTCTTCTTCCTCTCAGACTAAAACACAGAAGTGAGAAGTGCAAGTGAAATGGAGTTCTTTCTGTAAAACTGTAGTAGCCACGTTTGCTCAGCCATGTCTTTGTCCAAATACGTCATCACCTTTTCTTTTTAGGGCTTTCAGCACAAAACTGCCGAGGCAGCGTGTTTCTCTCTAGTGAGCTTCATATTCCTCTTCTACTTCTTTGTCTTCTGGATAGACGAGTCCCATCTCACTGCGGAGCTGAGTCCAATGTGGTTTTTGGATGTACAGTGTAAGCAGGTAGATTGCATTAGAGCATCAGTGTGAGAAAATACATCGTAAGTTGTAAATTTACACTGTACGACGAAACCCTGTGGTTTCGTCAACAGTGTGAGCTGTAGCTCCGTTCAACGATTGAAAAAAAAAAATCGCACAGTATATGCCCAGCATAAGCTTTATCAAAAAGGAAAGTTTTAAGCCTAGCCTTAAAAGTAGACAGGGTGTCTGCCTCACAGACTAAAACTGGTAGTTGGTTCCACAGGAGAGGAGCCTGAGAACTAAAAGATCTGCCTCCCATTCTACTTTTAGAAATTCTAGGAACCACTGGTGAACCTGCAGATTGAGAGTGAAGTGCTCTGTTAGGAACATAAGGAACAATTGGATCCCTGATATAAGACAAGAGTTTGGCCATTTAAGGCTTTATATGGGAGAAGGAGGATTTTACATGGATAGGAAGCCAATGAAGGGAAGCTAAAATAGGAGAAATAATTTTCAGAACACTGGTTGCAGCAAGACTAAAGCCAAACAAGCTGGTTTATAAAGTGGTTATACCCAGTGTGTGGAAAAGTATGTCTTTCAGAATGGAAATGAATTAATGAAATCAATTTCTGTTTATCAGATTACCTTTTTGGAAAATCAAGATGTATTTTTTCCACCGACAAACTTCCTGTGCCCCCAATAGCTCAGGCAGGGCGAAACACCTACCTGTGACAGTAAATAACTCAAGGAGCTCAAGAAGTAATCCAATGTTAACTACCTAAATGATGCATGCAGTATATATAACCCTTCCTTGTCATGCACATCCTTGTGACGGTTGGCATATGGTGTAATGATCTATTTCTTCAAACTGTAAAGTCATTGCAACAAACTAAATTATAATAAAACTAAGATGCTTTCTTTAAACCAAACTACAATGTTCCTCTTGTATTTGGCAAATTTATGTTAGAATATTTTGCAAAAATATGTTGCGGTGCATGATGGGGTTTTGCATGTAAAGGCTACCATTTCCTGTCTTACCTGCATTGTTCCCAGGTTGGGATGTTTCCCAATCTGGCAGTTTAGGATGGCCATCTATTAGGGCTGAATATTTTCGCCAAAGTCCTGAATCGATTCCATTTTGATTCATACAGTTCTAAATCGATTAATTTCGATTCGATCTGTTTTACAATAGTGAAAGTGGTTCAACTGTGTTTCAAAATACTCATGCATTGAATTTTTTCCTGTCACATTAAACATAAAGTGCAAACTTGTAAATCAGATAGTTTAAACTTGAGATGTGAACAAAACTCTCTCATAAGTGCAAACTTGTTTGTGAAAAGTATAAAAGTGAAGCCTTACTCGAGCAATCAGACGTGACACAGCAGACAGGCATGAGCTGCATTATCTTCACTGCACAAACCATATTTGCAGCGTTGTCTTTAACAACTACAGGGTGTTTTCTGGTCAGTCCCCATTTGTTAAGGTCTTCAGTCAACCTATTGGCTATATTTGCAGCTGTCTGGCTTTAAGTGAGTGCATCTTTCCTGCTCATTTGAATCTGAACATCACGCATCTTAAAACTAATTGATCTCATTCCCTAGACATCGATTTTGCACAAATATAAAGGAATCGATTCAAAATCGATTAAATCAATTTTTTTACCCAGCCCTACCGTCTATGGGTAAAAAATGTTTTTCTTTAGATTTATGGCCTAAGAGATCAATAGACTTTGGTTCAAATTGGGCAAGATTTCTTATATATGTGGTTTATGAACACTTTTGGGCTGGAAACGTGAGTCAGTGATGGCACTGTATGAGTAAGTAGGTGGGTGGGTGTCTGGCTGGCTTCATGCCGTGTGGACACACTAGCAGTACCTGTTGCGTCCGTGTTAATAACCAAAGCCAGTAAAACCGCATTATAGATTATAGAAGTCTTGGTAATGGTTGCCATGTGATGCTTGAAGATTGACTGGTTAATCCACAATGTATATCCGTATTTTGTTTCACATTTGAGACCAATGCATTTGACTGTGCTTCTATTTTTTCGCATTAAAGGAGTCAAATAATGTGTTTTGACATCTGCTGCACTGCTTCCCTCACATAAAGTTTTCTTAAAGACACAGAAAATATGTTTTTTTTTTTCTCGTCTTTGTACATTTATGGAAATGAAGCATTGTCTGGGTTGATCAGATGAATTAACTGAGGCTGAATTTGATAGTTTTGTTTAGGCTCAACATGAACATGGATCTGGAACTCTGCAATGGCTCTAAGTGTGGAAATTAGATGACTGACTGGAAAGTGTTATAAAAATCTTGGATCTTGTGTTTTCGAAGTGTAAGGATCTTCTTATAACTCCAAACCTTCTCAGTGAGGAGTTTCACAGGTTTGAAACTGTTCACTGAGTAACTCACAGGTTCAACTCACAGCTACAGATACTCAGAGTCCCTTAAAAGAGCTAAGGGAAAATCTGAGCGCAGTTGGTTGTTTTAATGGTTGTGTTTTTAGTTGGTTGGTGGGATGAACGGTCAAACAGACAAAATCAAACGCTGCAGTTTTTGGGTTTAGGAAGTTCTTTAATCTGAGAACAGCTGACAACTACAATCTGTACTTCCTAAAATAAAACTATAACTAGAAAACTTTAACCAAGAAATGTCAGAGGTAAGCAACTACAGATTTTATTTGTAAGAATTCCACACCAAATATCTTTCATAGTTATGATGTGCGGTTCTTCTGATGTCTCCTTGTATGTGAAGATCTGAACTGTCGATGTTGGCAGCCATCATCGTGGCTCAGGCCTCAGTTGGAGACTCATCGTCATCGCCATAAACCACACCCTTCAGGTAGGCCCTTTTAAATTCTTCAAACACCATGTCTCCAGATTCACTGCAAAGTTTGGAGAGGAAGCTGGAGAATCCTGGGATAGCCTCACAAGTTGACTAAAATTAAGATTTAATTTGATGCCTTGAAATTTCATGTGATGAAGCAGAGGTCTTACCTTCCCTTGGCTGAGGGTCATTGGCAGCAGCAGAAGAAGAAATAAAAAAGGCAATTAATGAAACATGAATAGAAAATTAATGAAACATCTCTTTATTGTGACCCAGTGAGTCCAGTTTTGCTACTGAACTATGTGGGTATGGCCTACAGATGGGACGTTAAAGCATGGTTTATTTTTGCTGTGTCTGATGTCTACATCCCTCTTCCAGCTTTTATGTCACTCTTATTTTACTACTTGCACACCTAGGATATTCTTTAACTACATGGACAGTTTTCTGTGGGGAGAAAACATGGCGGACTGGCAGCAGCTCCTAATCGTCTCAGAAGCTGACAAATATAAACATCCATTGACGTCTTGGTTTGGCCAATAAATGTCACTTAGATGGCAGTGAAAATGTTGGGAACCAAGTTTTCTATTAGTACGTGTTATGAGGTGTTGTAACCTTGCAGTCTGTGCCATAAACCACTCCCCAATATGAGCTAGATTATTAGGTACAGTGAGGAAAATATCAAATGCTGCAAAGGCTATGTCTGCAATGTTCTAGGTGGAAACATATCAGAAAAGCATGTATGCATAAGCATCACAGCCTGTGGGGTCTGACCCTGGAGCCCCTCGTCTGCCCCTCGTGGGGGTTGCTGCTGCTGCTGTCTCTGTGCCTCCCCTTCCCTATGTCTGGGGCTCCAGTCTCCTTTGTGTCAGCCCTGGGCTCTTTGGGATGGGTCTGGGGCCCCTCACTTCTGCTGTTGAGCAGATCTTCCTGTGCTGATTGAGCCTTATAAAGCTTGTATTCAGAAGCAAACTCTTGCATATACATCACAGCATTTGGATTCAGGTGTTCATTGTT